CAAAAACTGCGGGAAACTCTGCAAAAAACGCATCTTCGCACGGGCAGCCCGTGCGTTGGCCATTTTCTTTCTTTGCCATTATGCACTACGACCGTCATATTGACGAGGTCTTGTCGCGCTGTTAAGACGTATATGACTTAATGGACCGAAACGTTTTATCTCACTAACAGGGCCTGAGGTGTTGAATAATGGAATAAGATTATAATTAGGTGTCATGTACAAAAAGACATTTTACGATGCAGTCTCTCTGTGTTTCATCCCTAAGCTGTATACACAGAACGAACAATGCCTACGGGTAGGAGTAGGAATCATCAGTACAGCCTCCTACCCGCCATGTATTGAAAGGACATGTGACTAATTCGCAAGGAGGATAGGTGAACGAGAAAGAGAGGAAAGAAAGTGTAATAGAACGAAAATAATAAAAGTGATAGAGCAGGTGGAAAAGGAGGAGACTAACGTATGAGACAGGTAGTAATTCCATGTAGATTATGAGGTAACGTTAAAATCACATATTAGTAATGTTGATGGAATGCTCGCACACGTAGCTATGCTATCCTGCGTTGCCTACCTTCAGTTATCCGTCTGATACCTTCAGTAAGCATCAACTGTCTGTTTGTATGAAACATTACAAAGACGGTGCTCACAAGAAAGTAAACGACCATTTCAGTGATCTCCAAAACCACTACATGCATCGTGCAAAAACCGAAAGTGAAGGGCGCGGCAAAGGTATTTCCTGTTGTGTCAAATACGAAGAGTGATAGATAAACTTTATTCTAGTTAATGTTTCATTTCGGTCTTTTGTGTGTATATAAAAAATCTGCAGAAGGGGATCACGAGAAGGGAGAAGGAACAAGGACCTCTGAGGTAGGGGAAACACTGATTCCTAAAAATGGGGCCAGGATACGGTGGACTGGGAGAAGGCTGCGAATTCGAAAGGCGGATTGAGCAAGGAGAAGAGGATTACGTGCGAACTTCGGGACAGACAGCTGCAAGATCCGCTGGAGTGCTTAGGCGTCGGAGTTTATATGCTTATCGTTGAATTAAATACTTTTTAGGTTTGGTGTATTAAAATAAAAAATTGGCCAACGCACGGGCTGCCCGTGCGAAGATGCGTTTTTTGCATAGTTTCTAGCAGTTTTTGTCGCCACCGGCATTGGTTTTTTCGGCAAATTCTTCTAGCTGAACAAATTAAGACTGGCCACCAGAACTAGCGGGAAACAGCCCCTTAAAATTTCAGCTTTCTAGCTTCCCTGGCTCCTGAGTTATCACTTACTTGGATGGGGAACATCACCCTAAGATTTCAGCGTTCTAGCTTCCCAGATCCCGGAGTTATGAACTTGACCGAAAAAAATTTTGGCAGACCCGTACGCGGGTACCACGCTTACCCGGAGGATGGGTTTCAGTGCATTAACACCTACTTGGACGGAGAACATCCCAATAAGATTTCAGCGTTCTAGCTTCTCAAATCCCCGAGTTATGAACTTTCCCCAAAAAAAAACTTTGGCGGGCCCGTACGCGGGTGATGGCACCAATTTGGGGGATTGGGGCCGGCACGTGCGTGTAGATTAAGTTCCCGAAATTTCAGCCTTGCAGCTTTTATAGATCTTGAGTTGAAAGTGCGTAACAGACGCACACACAGACAACCCCTCGTCAATATGCGTTTTTGCATTGCGTAGCTGCACAAAACGCATAAAAACTGAGTTCTTTGCTTCAAACATAGCTATTTGATCATAGGCACAAATCAAATGATCAACATGCCCAGCCTGTAAGATCACCCCAGCAACATCGAATTCCCACATCAAATGTTCCTTCAGCCTTAGTAATTCTGTTACATATTACTACTCTAACAGTTTTCAATCACCGATCAAACCACTCCGAGTGACTCAGCGACAGCTACTGTGTCTGATCTCAGGGTGCAAACAGGCACATGATTTGCACCGTGTCCCTCTTGATCTGTTTTACTGTGATCACAGATTTTAATTCCGATTCGCATATGCCACTATACGTTATCGCTCACCCTATCCCCTCCCTACGAGGACGACGTTCGTAAGTAGTTTCTCCAGTTCTCAGCTGAGGTTTCTTGTTTCCCCGGGCACGCAGAATTCTAATCCAATTGTCCGCAAGAATAACACTGAAAGCTGCAAAAAGAAATGAATCCTTCCAAGTTCCCTCGGCAATATGCAATAGGATCTCGGTAAACCGTTCGCTGAAGTGAGAAAGACGAGATATTAAGATCGATTCGTTCTACACGGAATGCGTTGATGGAAAAAATAACAAACATTTTCAGGAAGTCGAGAGATGCGATTGCTGGCAACTATCAGCTTCGTCAAATTTGGTAACTGAGTGATGGAGGGCGATAGCTCCGCGATGTAATTAACCGATAAGTCGAGATGCAGCAAGCTTTTTGGCAATGCCTCCCATAGTTCATCCTGGAAAATGATTGCATGATACTATCAACTAGAACTTCACGCACAACCGAACGTCCTCACATCTGCAACACTGACGCTTCAAACAAGCAATTTGCTTGCTGTGATAACTTCATCGCGGCGTACCTTTACGCCAACGATGCAGCCGACCGTCTGCTATGATCAGAGCTGCGCTGTTCACACGGAAACAGTAAAACCTCTGTCGTCCGCCTGTACTATTTCAACTTACTTACAAGAAATTACACAAAACCTTCGAAATAAAATCCCGCAGCAGGAGGAGGTATGCCAACTAGCGGCCAACAGATTTTAGCCAAAACAGCTTAAAATGTGATGAAACATAAAGGAAAGCGACTTACCGAAATGCGACCAATCTGGTTATCTTTGAGCGAAAGCATTTTGAGGCATTTTAACTGAGCGATTTTCAAGAAGCTGCTGCAGAACACGTGCCGTGCGCCAAGCCTATTAACGCTGAGATCTAATCGCTCCAGCGAAGTCAATTCGAACCAACGGTGGTCCACACTACACAGACCAATATCGGAAAGAATCAATTCCTGCAACACATTCCCGTACCGTCATGGCAATCACCAGACGCAAACAAAGCATTCTTTACAGCCCCGAAAACAATAAAAAAAGAATGAAGCACGAAATTACTCGGAGATTTGCTGGGAAATTTTTTTGCTGCAGGTACATCTCCTGGCT